GAGGGCATCTCTGCAGGAGTGTAGAGATGGGGAAGATGTTGTCGTAATGGCAGGCTGAGCTGCTGAGCTTTGTGCTCTATTACATCTTGGTGAAGTGAATTGATTCTACCCAAATGTCCACATCTAGTAGATAAGCAATTGGTGGTGACTGAGGGTGGCTTTATTTTAAATTCATTATCTAAGCTTTGTGGCTAATAAAGTTAAACAGAATACATTTACTTCTCTTTCCTAATAAGAATCAACTGTGCTCTGCAGCAGCTTGCGGGCCACGCTTTTTATCCATGATCCGTGCATCCAGCCCTCAGTACAAGGGAGAATTGTTCTTTCCATTATGGCTTTATATTGCCAATCTGATACAATATTTAAACAGATTATCTCAATGCTCTGTTTGTCCCAAACCAATTTTTGCTTTGGCCTGTAAAGTGAATCTTCCTTTCAGTGGCTTCTGTGGTACAGGATGTAGTTACATGCATCAACTAGTTGAAGAGACCCATACACAGCATGAATAAACCCACAAAACCCTTAGCTAGGACTATAAATGTCACTGTATTTTTATATATGTAGGATTTTTTTTTTTTTGAGAGAGAGAATAGGATTACTGCATGCAGCTATAATTGAAAGTCCTTTGATAATTTGGTGGGTATTTTAAACCTAGCAATGATATACTTTCATAAAACCACACATCTCTGTTTTCTGAAGGATGCTAATAAGATGGTTAGCTTTGCTTTCATGCTCAATGTGTTCATGAGTGCTCTTACCCATTTAGTTGCATCTTCGAATTTAATGTCCCACTCTGATTTCATAGTAATTGTCAGGAGTCTCTTTTTCTTTATTGTATGTCCCCGCTCACTGTCTGGAAAATACAGTCTCCTCATTGCTGACCCCATCAGTCTGTCTCCTCACGGTGCTTGTAAAGAAAACCCTCTCCACCAAGGACAAAGATGTTTTTAAACAAGCCAATCTGATATAAGACATAGTTTGCTTAACCCAGAGGTGACCAAGAAGCGGATGCTGGCTGACTGTGCCCAGCCTTGAGCTGCTCTGTCTGGCTGCCCTTCTCCAAAGGCTGCACACGCTGCCATGCTGTGCTGTTCATTATCTGAGCAGCATCTGCAGTTCCCTGCTCTGTTACAGATGCCGCAGTCTGCTTAGTTTTGTGCAGCCGACACGCTGCCCTTACACTCCTGTGAGGCGTCTCTGTGGCTCCTCAGCCAGCTCACATCTACCCTGGCCTGCTCAAGACTTGTCCTGCTTCTCACCCTGGACACTCCAGTGAGCAAGTGCCACTGGCCTGGCTGCTATGCAGGCATCCTGGGAATCCTCTCTTCTCACTACTGGCTAAGTCCCAGCATGAGACATTTCTTACCTGCCCTGCTTCAAAAATCTGCTCTTCCTCCTCTGTTGTTTCGGTGCATCCTCTTTGCACCAGATCTTGCCATTTCATGGCTTTTTACCTGACAACTCCCATCAATAACAAAGCACTGCTTTTCTGACTCTCCTCAGCCCGTTGGTTTCAGCATTGTGTTTGCCAGCAGAGGAGTGCTTGTCCTTCAGTGTGTGTGCAACAGGGGCTGCTTGTCCCACATCGTAGTGGCATGCAGCAGGGAACTCTGCTGAGATATTTTTTCCAGTCTACTAAGCTGTCAGGAAATGCCTTCTGTCTTTCTAGCCAGTGTGCTCACAAGATCAATTAAAAAAAATTTAAAAGAAAAAAAATGAGAAATGCATCTGCACAGGCTTTCTTTAGTTTTAAATCTTTGCTAACTACAGGGAGAATGCTAGATTCATATTTTAAATACTATTTACAAAATAGTAACAGTCACAGAACCAATACTATTATTTGGCTCTTGATTTAAGTTGTATATACAGACCATGTAACCTATGCTGGCAGCTACTGAAATAAAGTCCACTTCTCTATGTTGGCTTGCTTGTCTTCCAGCCTTTTAAATCAGCTTACTTTATACCTTAGAGAATACTTTTATTTCTATATATATCTTCTCTTCTATTGGCTACCCCCGATAATCCTGTGATCAGCCATGCAGCAGTGTCACTTGAGTAGAATATGGAACGATGCTGATCGTTTTCTCATAGGCTGTCATACTAGCCCAGAAATAGCATCCATCTACAATGGGAGAAGCTCTATTAACATTTACAACTGTTCCTCTTCCCGACCCTCGAGAATTGCTCCGTGGTAGATAAGCAATACTTTGTAATACATTTCTTTGCGCTCAGTATTTTGGAGTTGAATTCTGAAATATAAAGGCACCTAATCCTGATCTGCTCTGGGATACACTGCTCTGCTCTTAGCAAGTGGAGCTGTGAATAGGATTAGCATTTCAACAGCTTCTTTTTTTAACTGTGAGCAATAAACTAAAATAATAGGGCCTGATTCAGAGCTCTCCAAAGTCGGCAGTAGTGCTTTGGCTGGTGTACATTGGCTTTGGGTCAGGCCCATAAGAATGGGAAATTCAGTGTTTCCCTAGAAAGGAAGGAGAATGTGTGAATTTTAGAGTTCCTGCTCCTGTGGAGTCTGTCCACACTGAGCTGAAATCCACAAATTTACAAGCCAACAAACACAACTGTATATTTGATGGCAGGTGAAAAGAAAATGTGTTGCTAGTCATGCAGTTAAAACTTGTGCTTCTTAATGATGTCAAGGGCACTTAGGACATGCATATAAACAAGTAACCACTAGAGGTGTTTTTGCTGCTGTTCCTTTTCTCTTTCCTCAGACGTGTGGAAGTGCAGACCATCATCAGGGCAGAACATGGGTTGGGCACTGTGGCCAGGGAGATGAGCTGTTGGGCTGGCAGGGCTTGCAGTGACTGGCTGCACTGAACACAGCCGTTTGAATTCATTAGCCATGGGCCCATGGGTGAGAGCCAGCTGTGAGCATCTGGCCCTCAGGGTCCTGCACATGGTGTTACAGGCCTGTACGCTTCAACTAAAAGCTGGGGATTTACTGTGCCTGTGCCAGTGCCTGTACTGAGCAGGCATAGCACCCTCTACCAAGCAGAGCCCATTTGTAATTCACAGCTCTTGAGCAGGGCCTGAATTCCCAGTGTTTTACCTGTCTGTCACCTACGAAATAGGTGATACCTTGAGCCTGCTTATTGGGCAGTAAGATTGCAGTTTTGCTGTTGCTTGCACAAGCTCTGAATTTCTGAACCTCAGCTTTCCACAGTGCTTTTTAAAAGCACAGCAACAGTGGCAATCCTGCAGCTTTCTACACATACCTTTTGAACCCAGTTTTACTAAGTTCCTTCTCTCCTCCTTGTTTTTTACACATCACACATGTATTTTGAGCTGTAGCTGGTAATTTAACAGAAACCCATTAAATTACTCTGAAATCAAAAATGCTTACAGGGGTGGATCAGATGTCACATGCATTTGAATCTCTGAGCGTTACTAAAAGCTTTAGCATCACGACCTGTAGTGCTGAGTCCTTCCCAAAGCACTCCCACCTGGGAGCAGGGAGGTGAGCAGTCAGAAGCAGCATTTGCAGAATGGCTGAGGTTGGGAGTGGGCAGAAGGACACTGCTGGAGACAGGGGATGCGTTGCAGCGGTGACAGTTGTACTGCGACGTGCAGCTCTTTATCCTGAGGACAAGTTTCTGATTGTCACGATCTGGAAGGCATCGGAGCAACCTTCAAGGCTCAAATAGTCCTTGGCTCTCAGCAGGAATATTTAGAGGGTTTAGTTCCTCATAGCAACAAAGCACTTCAAGACATTTAACTGATTACACCTTGCAGGTCGACAAGAAGCATTTTCTCCATTTTGCTATTGGGAGAACAAAAAGGCTTGAGATATGGGCCCCATGGGCTCAGGTTTCTGCTGATATTTGAACTTTCTTCCTGGCTCTTGGTTTCAGTGGGCTTCAACAAGGGAATTGTCCTGGAGAGATGGAACAGGAATGCTGAGGGCTTCAGAAGGGGCTGTAGGTGTATTTCTTTCCTGAATTTTCTCAGGTGAATTAGTAGCAAGAGCACCTGTGTCCACATGCAGGGTCTCCATGTGGTGTGTGCTTCTTGGGCTCTGAGGAGGAGTCCCTGACATGCGGGGGCTGCAGAGTAGTGTGGCAGCATGCCAAAGACACAGAGGCATTCCTGGTGTCACAGTCTGCTCCTGTGCCCTTGGCTGCAAGTGTCCCTCTCCTGTGGAGTGGGGTGGGGTGGGCAGTGAGAGGCAGGTGGAAATTGGGTGATTTGCATCTCTTGGATACCTGCCAGGATCCAGAATATTTTTCCAGCCATTTAAGAGAGGTGCTGGTCTCTGACTGGTGGCACTGACAAAAGCTTGGGTGTGCTGCTGTAAGGTATGTGTTTGTAAATGAGCTGACCTGCATATTCTGTTTCCTAATCCTGAGTGATACTGTCAGCTCAGAGAGCTGAGCCTGGGTAATGACTGGAATCCACTGTGCTTTTCTTAGTGAGGATGTGTGGTAATCTGAGGTAGTTGTTAAGTGCTACATCCTGAGAATCAGAACTGCATATGCCCCATGGGTTCCGCATGTTTTAGACAGATAAATGGGGTTTGAGATGACCAGGGTAGTTACTATGAGAAGAACCAATGTCAGGTACATAGTAACCTGCAGTTACCTAGGAGGCAAAAGGAATTAATGGGGTTTTCCCTCTGATAAAGGTAATGAAGAGCTTGCAAGGACATGGTGTGCAGCTTCTGCACAGCGTATGCATTAGGCACTGTCTCCCTGGCACAGGGAATGCCAAACAGCTGTGTGACAAGAGCAGTGCAGCCCGCAGGGCACCCCACTGCGTGACATTTGTGCTGTCTGAGACCTTGTTGATACTCTGAGATGGAAGAAAATAGGGGCAAAGGGAGGAGTGGGAAATGAAATGGGAATAGGGACTGCAGAAAGGTATTCAGGGTGTCTTGGGACCCACCACCAGACAGAATCCATTTCCAGGGAAGAAGGCATAACATTGTGGGGGACGAGAGTTGGAGCGGGAAGTAACAGCTATGGTCTCTCTTGTGCATTTAGGGTTTACTGTCAATCCTGCGCAAACTAAAAAGCACCCCAGACCAGGAGGTGAGAATCCTCCTCTTGGGACTGGATAATGCAGGCAAGACCACGCTCCTGAAACAGCTGGCATCAGAGGACATCAGCCACATCACCCCAACACAGGTGAGGAAGGCCTTTCCTTCTTGAGGCAGTTACTCTGGTCCCACCTGCCACGTAATACAAAGCACTCATGATTCATCAGAGTCTTTCAGTAAAAGGAGGAGCAACTGGAGCCTGGTGCACCATTGAGTTTGTGTCTTTTCTGCCTAGAGGAGGCTTCCTGAAGGAGCCAGAGAGCTTCAGGCCAGATTGGTCAGGTAGTGCAAAAGTGGATGAGTGCTGTGGAGTTCTGCAAAAGGCTTTGGAGTCATGCTATGATTGCATGGATGAGACTTCGTTCCTGTTGTTTTTGCTAAACAGGGACATGTAGAGTGGATACTGCAGCACTGGATAAACCCTTGTCTGCTTGCATCTTTCACCCAACCAGCTCCAAGGGTTCTGCGTATACCAGTGCTCCTCTCTAATATCTCTCATGCCCTTTTGTTGAGCTTTGGGGGTGGAGGAGAGGGATAGCTCCCATCAGAAGCACTGCAGCATTGCTCCAGAGGAGGTTGCTAGAGAGCTATGGGAGATGCTCCCCCCCACCCCGTAGCTGCCTCCCAAAGCTCCCAGCCTTGGCACCCTAATTCCAAGCCTTGGTCCCCTGGGTGGTGTGGCAGCGCATTGCCAGCCCACACCACATCCTGTTTTTCTACTTGAATGCACTTTCAGTTGGTGCTCTAATTGATGAAATGGACCCTTCAGACGTGCAGCTGTTGCTCTTTTAAGCCCAGCATTAGCTGTGTCGTGTCGAATTGAGCTGAGACCTCTGGCTTCATATTAGTTGTGACTGTCTACTCAGCTTTCACAAGCTCAATCTTTCTTCTCACAGTGCCCTTGTTTTCTCCTTATCTGCAGCTCTCCCACTTCTTCCTGCACCCACCCTGCTGAGCTCTCTCGGGGCACTAACTGCATCATATGTCTCCATAGGCATGACAGCATCAACCCTTGACCCAAGAACACTGACAAACTGATGGTTATCAGCTGCTTTTGCTGGTGCCTGTCCCATAGCTGATCCATCTTTGTGGCTGCCCAGCCCATCTCACTGCACACTGCAGGCATGGGATATATAAGGTGTTAATGTCTGGCTACCAATATGCTCCAGCCATTCAGGTTTATGCTCTGTGTGGCTTTGTTTCTGCTCTTTCCAGGGCTTCAACATCAAAAGTGTACAGTCTCAAGGCTTCAAACTGAACGTATGGGACATAGGCGGACAGAGGAAGATCAGACCATACTGGAGGAACTATTTTGAAAACACTGATATCCTTGTGAGTATTGGCTGCAGCTGAATGCTGTGTTCATGCAATGGCTTTCCAAGGTCTCAGCCAGAAATTCAGAAACAAGTAATGTAATGTCCCAGCCCTCAGCAACACCATTGCCATTGTAACAGGAGTTATTCTGAGCTAAATGGCAAGATTGGTTGAGTGCAGTAAGAAAAATACAGTTATGTTTGCAGAAATCATTCAGTTGCATGTTTTTACTTTCACAGGATGGTGCTGTTTGTAGCCAGTTCCTTTCCTCTCATCTCAGTCTCTTTCAAATGAAAGAACATTAATAATGTGTACTTTATCCATCTATAGCTCCTTTCACTGGAGGCTCTGAAGGCCTGTCATGCATTAGTGACTTAAGCATCATGTGTAGAGGTAGGTCAGTATGGTGCCCTTGTTTTATAGGTAGGGAAACTGAGGCATAAGAATTAAATGCTCTGTCTGGCATCAGATTGGAAAGCTTCTGAGTGAGGAACACAGAGAGACCCCTTGTCTTTTTCTCCTTTAATCATAAGACTGTCTTTTAATGGTTTCGACAATTTAGCTGTAATTACCTTACAATTAGCTACAGATGACCACAATTATATTTACAGTGCAGGACCTTTGTTTTTCCATGCCAGAGCAGATTGCCCTGGGATCCTCCAGGTGCTGTCTTGGCTAGTTTCAAAGATCACCTCTAGCATGCAGCCACACATGCCAGGGTGAAGGCAGACTGGGGGCTGCAGGCCTCTCTCTGCCCCAAGCACTATTGCCTGTGGGAACAGAGGAACACCAAGGTCTGTAGGCTCCCATGGGAAAGTAGGAAGCTCTCTCAGAAAGAAGCCATTCCTCCCTCCTGTCACACACATGCTCAGGAATGTGTCAGGAGCTTCAGTGCACTTGCAGGGAAGGATCAGTGCAACTAGGAATAGGATTCTGTTCACCAAGGCTTGTGTCCCGTTGCTGAACAGCCTGGCTGTGCCTGCAGGCTTAGAAAACGTTGTCCAAATGAAGCTGTTGTTTAAATGTGACTAATAAACCCTTGATACGCTCTTTAGCCAATCTTCAGTTTTGAGCCTTAATTTGGAGTCTAAAGTTCAAGGACAGCCATCACTGCATAAACCCGGTTGGTTGCTTTTGTAAAGAGGAACTGTGAGATTTTCCATGGGGTAAGATCTGGGTTTGAGAAACGAGCAGGACACACACTGTGCTCCTCTGTGGCTGTTGAGGACAGAGACGTGGTGTGGCTGTGAGGTGACTGTGCCCACTGAGCCAAGGCTCTGGCGCTGTGGGTGGTGGGGAGGCAGTAAGTGTGCAGATCAAGTGCAGCCCTGCAAAGCAGCAGCGTTGGGATCTCTGCCTGCTGTGGCAGGTGCTCAGGCTGCAGAGGCTGTGCAACCACAAAACAATATCTGGAAGACTCTGCTGGCAAAGACAAAAAACTACACTGGCCTGTGGGCTTCCACCCTTCCTAGTGTGCGCTGCGTGGGAGGTGTAGAAATAAAGGTGAATTTGAAGACTGAAGGAGATGAAAGCAGTTGTTTTCCCTGCCCCTCTCTCACCCCAGTTAAAGCAATGTACAGAGAAACCCCTTCTTTTCATATGACTAAGAAAATGGGCAGGTATAAGCAGAATCAGTTTGGGGAAAGCAGCAGTGTGAATTCAGAGAAATAGCTGGTGCACAGATGGACTTGAGTTCCCCTAGGTGCACTTCATGCTGATACCCAGTCCCAAACTGGGAGATGTTGGCATCTTGGGGCAGTGCTTTGCTATTTCCATACACACCAAAACTGGGATCACGTATATGCTGATGGCTCGCTCTGTCTTCTGCCAGTCCTTACCCCTGTTTTAGCCAGTATTTTTACCCTCTGACAAACCTGGTGCAGATTGTGCATTTACAAATTGAGCCAATTTATCACGCTATTTCTTCATCTAGTCCCACCACTTGCAACTTCGGCCCAACCCATTTTTTCCAGGTTGTGTTTTGGCTTGTTTCTCAAAGGAGGTACCCAGCTTTACAGGAATTTCCTTCTCAAATCTCCATTCTCCAGCCTGGTGTTCCAATTGGTAAGCTATGTTACCAAGCGCCACAGGCAAAGCCAGGCTCTTGTGTGGCCTTGGCCATAAAAGAAAGTTGGACATGAGATACACTACAGTTCCCAGGACCCCCTGCTTCTCTCTTCCCCTGAACTGCATTGCATAAAGCAGAAAGGACCCTCTAAAGAGTATTAAAAAGCAGGAAGTAATTACAAATTCAAATCCATGCAGGTGCCTTTGAATAAGAGCTTGGTCTTGCATCACACACCTGTGATATTTGGAAGCTTAACGCAGGCAAATAAGGTGTGGATATCTGGCTGATTGCATATTCAGACAGGCACCTGCAGCTATTTGGCACAGTGCTTGCTGGTTTGGAAGTAGGCACTCGGCACATACTTTGCTTTCTCTCTGCTGTGCTTTTGTGGCTTTTGCCCCAAGCACTGTTGTATCTAGTTCTCATCTTGCAAAACAGCTCCCTAGTGAGGAATGAGAGGTGCAGGAGAAAGCCTGGCTGGATGGGACCCAGAGCTATTCCTTCCCAGTTAGAGAAGCACTCTAATATGGAAGATGCTGCCTTTCAGTTCACAAGCAGCACTCGACCATCGCATTCATGTGTTGTGGACTTCCCAGAGATGTCCCGAGGGAGGACAGATGACGGCCCAGTCCCACCCCAGAACACACCTGCCAGCCCTGCAGCTTCTTCCTTTCTTTTGCTCTGCGTTTCCTACCCTAAATGGGATGCATAGGGGTGGATGCTTGGTAGGGGCGGGGAGGACGTGTGTAGCTGATCCAGTATTGGTGCACGTGCTTGGGATCACGCTGCGGGGAGAGGCCCGCGTGTCATGCCCACGGGCCGGTCCCCATCACGCGGCGCCGGGTGCGCGCTCTGCTGACGCATCCCCACGCAGCTGCGTCCGGCCCTGCCGCGTGTCCCCCAGCCCCTGTCAGCGCACATCAGCCCCCAGGTGATCTGCAGAGCGCCTGGGAGGTTGCTGGGTTACCTCCTCAGGCCTCGCATACAGATTTTCCTGCTGTGTGTTTGGTCCCACTTCAAACAACTCAAATGCTGCTCATTAAAAGTGTCTATTGTTTAATAGATATTGCTGCTAGAGATCTTCCCTCCTCCTACTATTTGATCAAAATTATCCTGGAAGCATGGAATCTTATGCTGAGACTGCCTGCAAGGATGCCATTTATCTTGATGGCAGGGTGCTGTGCTCATCTATTCCCTGAAAACCAGGCTGACACTTGCTCCCTGTAAGCCACCCAAGAGCATGCAGATGACATGCTAGCAGCTTCAATCACTACTGATGGGGAATGGCAGCAACTGGAAGCAAAATGCTCAGTGTTTGTCACAGTCCTATTCCTGTCTGCTATCCCAGCATCCTTCTTCAAAAACCTTCATGTATCAAGCAGTGAAAAAGGGATACCAGCCTATTCTTGCCTGCATGTTGTACTGAGGTTCCCCATTTTTTTAGACGGCAGCTGAAGATGGAGTCTTGCAGGCTTCAGCCCTCATACCCAACCACCCTCTCCAAGAGGCTGCATTAGGATTGCCTGATGGAGGCAAACTCAATGTCCCCAACACATTCTTGTGTCCCCTGAGTGGCATCGTGTGCCTTGGTGGCTTACTGAGGAGGTGGTGCTAGAGGGCAGCACGGCACAGTCACACCAGGCCAGTGTTTGTACACTTTGCTAGGGTGAAAGGCCGTGTCTAGCTCCCCAGGTTTTGCCCTCCTATGCTCAGCTTCAGCTTGTAACAATAAGTTTGAAACAGTAGCAGCAGTCTCCTGTTCTCTTCAGATAATATATGCTATGGTGATGGTGACAGCATCCCCAGTACCGCTGCCAGCTCCTTTCTGATTCTGCCCACGTGGTTGTCCACTCCCCCAGCATTAAAAGAGGTGGTTCCTCTCCTTTCAGAACATCATGAAGTTTTGTCAACATTTGCTGCAAATAATAGCAAGGATCTTTTTGCCCAAAAGCATAATTAGTAGGTTCAGCTCACTTAAGCACATACTGCTGTGGAAGAGTGTCTTCTGGGAAGAGTAACTTTTCCTGTCATTTCTTTTTTCAGATCTATGTCATTGACAGTGCAGATAGGAAGAGGTTTGAAGAAACAGGTCAGGTAAGTTACTTAAGCCCAGCTTCCTTTGAAGTGACTCAGTGCTTCTGAGTGCCCCTTGCTCACAAAAGTTAGGAAGAAGATTTTGTTGTTTATGAAGTAAATTTGCATTTCAATAGACTTGCCTTTCAACATCAATACAGATTATTTTGGTAGATGTGAAACAAGGAAAATAGGTAGCCTAATTCTGTTTAAATAGAACACTGTTCATTAAAGTTATACAATAATAGCAAATGGAGCCTAATACTGAAAGCACAAACTTCTCTAAGTCCTTTAAACCTTGCCAAACCAAGACCCTGAGGAATCCTATTTTCTTATTTACGAAGCTGAAATGGAAATCATATTGACTTGATTGTCTTTTGGATGTAATTGTAAAAAAAGCTAAGAACTTTCTAACTATTACTGGCCAGAAAATAAGATTTCCGTTTTACTGATGTTTTGTAACATTTTTTGTTTTAGGTTGGAACAAAAATAGGGCTTTTAAACTTTATTGTGTAAAATTCTGAAAGTGACAGTGTCCCAAAATAGCTAGCAATAGATTTACCCCATAGAAATGGGAGATGTAGATTAAAGCCTTCTGTTCTGCCTGATTTGAAGGAGATACTTGATCTTTTGCCTCTCAAGTCTCATGGAAACACCCCAACAGCAGAACTGTTGGTTGTTCTAGGGGTGGGGGAATCTTTGCTGGAGCTGTTTAATTTTATATCAGTAATTAAATATTCATTGGGCAAAAGAGATGGAAAGGAAGCAGCAGCTTAGATCACTTGCCTGAGTCAGGCGGAGCCAACCTAAACCCCTCCTCATATTTCCGCAAACACTTTTGGTTTCAATAAATCAGCCGTGTCAGATGAAAGACCTATTTTGTTGAAAAATTCCCAGCCAGTTCTGTTTATAACTCCATCCTCTCATCCTGGCTTCCAAACCAAACATTTCTCTTGGGGGGATGGAGTTGTGTTTCCACTGCAGTTTAGCATCTCCCTTACTGCACTTGTTTAATCCAGAAGTTTCTATTCAGTGGATAAAAGATGTTAGAATGTTATCTGAGACCATGAGACCTTTCCAGCTAAATAAGGAGGCCACAAAAATCTCCCATACTCATCTGTCTGCAATGCCAGCAGTCCCTACAGGTTCATGTTCTGCTGAGTTTGTCATATGTTCCCATAGGGAAGTGACTTGAGACTGAGTGCTGGTTTCACATGAGACCATTGCACAACCTAGGCATGAAGTATTTCTACCACCATTGATCCACTGCAGATTCAGATTTGAGCTATTCAGAAAATCTTTTTGAGTCAACCAGTTTTGAATGAACAAACCTATTTTTTAAGATGACATCCAATGTCTGCATCTGGAGCCAAAATTCAGCTATTAAGGCTCATCTAGCTTGTCTTCAGTTAACCAATGCCTTCAAAAGTATCAGCATTTTCCTGTGGGAAGGAGATTTCCATTTTGGTGGGGGGGTGATGGGAGTGGGGAAGTCCTCTCCTTTTTAAATTGCAGTGATTAAGACTTCAAACCACCCCTTGAAACTCATGATTAGCAAAGATATCAGAGCCAGTGTCAATGGTTGCTCAGGTACAAATCAGGTCAGTCAGGCAATAACTTAAGACAGATTCCTCATACTGCCAATTTACATGTTGTTTTTTTGCTGTTTCATCAGTTTTGGTCTCCTGGGATCAGAGACTGGTAAAACACAGCGTTGTAGCCTTTAAGGCAACTGCTAATTTCAGACCAAAATGAAGATTTTTCTAACCTGTAATTGGAAGAAATAGCTTTTGAACCTTGGGCAGAGATGATTGTATACATTTTTGCTCTCTTATAATAAGATCTAGGTTTCACTGGAACACACTCTTCTAGCATTTGCCCTAAATATATTTCTAATTAGAGACAAGCATTGGTGGTTGAAGGTTTTCTTCCCTTCCCTCTCACCATCTTCCCCCCACCCCACTCCCTTGTAAATGATACAGGAGCTGGCTGAGCTTTTGGATGAAGAAAAGCTTAGCGGAGTCCCCGTGCTGATATTCGCTAACAAGCAGGATTTGCTGACGGCTGCCCCTGCGTCGGAGATTGCCGAGGGACTGAACCTGCACACGATCCGGGACAGAGTCTGGCAGATCCAGTCTTGTTCAGCTCTTTCGGGAGAGGGAGTACAGGTGAGGCCCTGCAGAAGGCTTGCTGTGCCAGCAGGCCATCTGTAAGAGATTGTTGATCTGCAGGGTGGGGCTGGAGCAGCCTCACCGATGAGGGTCAGCGCAGCCAAAGCCTTGCAGTGCAAAATGTGGGGGTTGGGTGTCTTGGGTTCTGTGCAAGGGGAAGGGAGAGCTGGGGGCCCTTGGGCTCCCTTCATCCCTGGTAAAAGGGAGAGTGATTGCCTCCCCACCCAGGAGCCCTTAGCTGGCCCAGATGAAGACATTGATTTCTTTTAAAGAGACTGCTGTCAGGTTAATCATTCTCACAAAACAAATTGTCTTTTACTATTAACCCTTTGACTGGTACGAGTGTGCACTCTAGAAATCTGATTTACCTTTGCTACTGATGTCATTTGGCATTTTACTAAACCCAGGCACCAGGGAGAAAAACAGATCAATTTTTCTGATGCAGAGAAATGCAAGAGTTGCACATGGAGCAACAACCACTTCTAGTGTCAGCATGTGGGGCAGCAAAAACACACCGAGGGGCCTGCACTGTGTCCCTGTGCTGAACTGTAACAGTTGTGTCTTGGGCTCCTGTGCTGTAGTCAGTTCCTGCAGTATAGTAGCTCTTTGTAATGTAAATGGGACCTAGGTTTGTTTATTTCACTCTTAGGTTTTCCTGAATTAATGAGGTATTTGCAAAGCTCGAAATCTGAGTACTCCCTTCACTGATATTTAAAGAAACAGAATGGTGAAGACATTTATCTTCACTGCAGTTTCAGTAAAACCTTATTTGCAGATGCTACAGAGCAGTTCAGGATAGTGAGATCTCAAGCTGAGTATGAAGAGTCACAGAAGCAGCCCTCCATGCTGAGTGGGCAGTAAAATGGCAGATGAAATTCAGCATTGACAAGTGCAAAATAATGCACATGAGAAACAACAATCCTAATTATACGACGATGGACTCAAAATTAGCTGCCATTACTCAGAAGCAGATCCTTGGGAACAGAGCTCATCCAAGGCCAGAGAGGAAAATTCAAACACTGGACAATTACAAGAAAGCAAAGAAGAAACATCTTTTCTAGCAGGTTAAACTCATCGTGAGCCCATACCTTGAACATGACCTCAATCTCTGTCTCTGCCATATTTAAAAAGGTTTTAGTAGTAATAGTAGAATCATAAAGTCCAACAAAAAATTAGGTAGAAGGGTCTTCAGAAGATCTTCAGGCCAGCTTCAGTTTAAAGCAGGGATAGCTGTGAGTCTAGAGGAGGTTGCTGAGAGTCTTTTCCAGTCAAGTTATAAGTATCTCTAAGCATGTAAATTCCACATCCTCTCTAGGTAGCCTCTTCTAGGCTCTTAACTACCCTAATCAAAAACAAATATGGTCCACATATCTACTTAGAATTAGGAGAGATTTGAGTATCCTCTGTCAGGAGTGATCAGCAGCACAGAGTGGTATCTGTATACAGGGATAATAAATTAGGACTAGCAGTTTGTAAGAGTGAGGACAGAGAGTGGGAACATCTTCAGGATTTATAAAATAAGATATAAAAATATCAGATAGACCGTATGCTATTTTTACATTGCTAGAGGAAGAGTGTTCCTAATGAAATAATCAGAAAATGGTTTAAAAAAAAATAAAAATAAGTGCTTCTTTGCAAGGGGCATAATTAAATTCTGGATCTCATTGGCACAGGATGCTGGGGAGACCAAAGGTATCAGAAAAAAAAATGGTATCAGAAAAATACTTAAATGAATTTCTGAAGAAGGGATGTGCAAGCAATCACTGACAAGTGATCTGCAGGCAGCTTTTGACTGAGGAACAGCTTGGGCCATGAACTGGGAGTGAAGAACAGAGTAAGGCAAATCCTGTTCCTACACGGTCTTTCCCCTGGCATCCAGAAAGAGGATGCTGGTCTGGATGAACCATTGGTCTGACCTAGTACAGCAGTTCTGATTTAAAATTCTCAACCTGATTTTGAGACCTGAATGTAGTAGGTGGTGTTCTCTGAAGGGCCTGTAGTTAGCTAAGCTACAAATTCAGCTACACTGTAGCCAGTGTTGTAAAGGGCTTCAGCGCTAATCTCTGCTCTAAGTTTCCAGTCCAAAGAGATCTGACCAGGAAAACGAGGCTGCGGTTGACAGGGTTTCAGGCAAACATAGGTCACCTTCCTACCCCCTTCGGGCCCTTCTAGGTTTTGGAAGTCCAAGGAAGCTCTCCAGCTGCAAAGGGGCAGTAAAGAGACAGATGAAATTCAGAGATTCAGAGGTGTTGGATGTGGAAGAAGTAAACGATACAAAGTGTCACTTTCTGTTCTTGAGCTTTGAAATACGCTTCCTTCTCAGGCAGATTTGTGGGCTCCCTGGAGTGGGCTGCACACTTCTCCACTGACAGCACCTTCTTACTGTGCCTCCTCCCTGAAGCACAGCACATCCCTAGTCATCCAGTAGTGCAAAATACTCAGCCCAATATCCTCTGCCAGGGAAATGAAATCTGCTTCTGCATTCATTTCCAGAAAACAGAAGACCAGAACTAAATAAAAGTATTTGCAGGCCTATGTATTTTGTTCATCGTGCTTATCTAGTCAGATTAGTTTAGATGCAGGCCAGATAACATCCTGCTTTGTTGTAGTTGGTCTCATTGCCCTAAATACTGCAGCTTATTCCATAAGTGATTATTGCAGAAAAGTCAGGAAGGTTTCAAACTCTCTATAGCTTATAGAAGAAGAGCCCCTACATTTCTCTTCACCCATAACTTCAGCTCTGTCAAATCAGACAGCAAGAATGTCAAGCACTCCCTTTCCTTGCAAACGGAACAAAATGTTTGGGGAGATGGCTTTTAAACTAAACCCAGATCAGCCTAGAAAAAATGGTGTCTTCAGTCTTGGAATGTTAAGGAGAGGTCAAACTTTAGAAGAATCGAAGAACTTGTTTAAAGAGTGAGATTAGGAAAGCTGTTTTTGAGGATTGTGGTACACCAGGGCCACAGGTACCAGAGGTTCAGAACAGGAGCTCTCCATGTGGTTAAATCTCAGGTCACTGCTTTAAGGACCTTGTTGAGAAATGACAATGAGTGGCAGCAAAATAAATGGAGATGGGGAAGCATCAGGTGTTCAGAATGAAAGCCAAGGCATGCCAGCTATTGCAGGTGATGGAATGTATTAGCTGGAGTAGAATTGGAGACATTGCTGATGGATCTTGGAAGGAAGAGTGGTGGCATGTCTTGTGCTGAGCACATGGAAGAACAGAGTTCATATGGGAAGATGTTTGTGATAGCTTGGAAGAAGAGCAATGAGCAAAGATAAATAATGCTGATACATGAAGGAGAAATAGTTTGAAGGTCATTTAATTAGTTTAGCAGCTAGCACCATCGTGTATAGAACTGGGTAGTTAAGACTGGGGATTTCAAGGTTAATGAGATTAGATTATGGTTAATAGAATGATATAAATTTAGAGAATTTAACTATTATTTGAAATGGGTTATTTAATAAAACTGTTAATTAAGGGGGGAATCCATATAGTCATCTTCTCTTTTTAAATTAACCATTAGAGACTCTGGAAAAGGGGCCTAGCAGTGTCCTGAGCAGGCTCAGAAGAGAGGTGACTGGGTTAACTGGAAACTCCATGTAGTGTCTCTAGATGCCAGCTGGCAGCCCCTGTTATGCCAGCTGAAGACTTCATTACCTCCTGACTGTAACTGTGGGCAGCACTTGTCTTGTTAATCAGACTTCATGGTGCCATCGAGGCTTTTTCAAGCAAAATGTCTGCTTGGGTCTGATCTTATCCTCAGCCCCAGTTAAAAAGCAGGAAAGCCTTTTCTCCTTGCCACAGCCAGCTGGGCTCTGCTGCTGGAATGGAGTACTGACCAGCCTACACCGAGACCTCAGCAAGTGAGGGAGGTGATTACTGATGACAGCAGAGGAACACAAGGGAACTGTTGCCTCACAGCCTCTCTCTGGTGCCACGTAGGCTCTCGTGGGGTATTTGTGACCAGATCTCAAATTGTAGCCCTTGGTGTGCAAAAGCTGTGTACATTCCACCCTGGCCAGCCAGGGCTGGTGTGAAAGTAAACAGGACCCCTCTGCTTTCCTGCCTCCTCTCTTGCTGAGGTGTTATTTAGGGGCCAGGGTGTGATATTAAATATGACTCAAGGCTTGGGACCGATGTGTGCTCTGCAGCTTGTTTGTTGTCTGAAGCAAGATTCTCCAATCAAGGCAGCGGGAGTTCAGCCTGCCCCTAGGAGCTGTCCTCCAGAATGATGATGCAGCATATTGTGTCCAGAGTCTCCCAAACATAATGACCCTCTGGAGACCATTAAAAGCCAGTGAAACTGAGAGTAGCCACTAAACTTTTCCAATTTATGCCAGAGCCCATCTGGCCCAAAGGACTGTGGGAAGGGCTGAGCCTCTGTCTCTTCCCTGGCTGTTTCAACCTAGTTGAGAATGAAGCCCAAGACCTAAGTTATGTCTATGCTGCAATTCAACACTTTCATAAGGTCAAGATTCAGAGCAGGACCATCCCTGGTGGGTACCACATACCAGTGTGGTATCTGCAGAGCTTAGTTTAGTCTTAGCCAGGAAAGGCTGGATGGGGTTCTCCCACATCTTAACAAGGTTCTGGAGCTATTTGTAAATATGATTTAAAACCAGTTTTGATGACTGCAACTCTCTGGGATAGGCAGAGCCTGTGCATGTTGAGGAAAAGCAACCATGTTTCCAGATTACAGGGCAGTGTCTTCTGATTTTTAAGTAGGGTAAGGAGGGAGTCTATAGGGATACAAGGTCTCAGTGGACAAGAAAATAAGCTTTCACCCAGGCAAAAACCAATGGATAATGTACTGGCAGAAGCCTGTAAGAGCCAGCCTGTATGATCACTGGAGGTGCGAGGAAATGACAGATAATGAAGGCACAGTCCTGGCTGTGCAGAGGGAGAAGAAAGTAACAGTTAAAATAACGCATACCAAAAATGCTAGAGATTGAGAATTTTGCACTTGCTGACCCAATTTGTTATGGCAGACAGA